ATTCAAGCCCAACCTGTCTCTTGTTTTGTTCAACCGGTGACATGTTCTCTCATGCCAAGTTATAGAAAGAAGCCTGCTGGAGATCCCCTTATCTAATCAGCTATAAAGAGAAGCATATTTCACCCGAGCATTCTTCTAGAGCCATTAATAGAAAGCATCAAGTATTGGTATCTAGAGGCAACCATGTTTACTCAGGGGAGTCTATTCGGAGTAGTGAAGCTAGAGTTTTCTTGAAAGTCAAGAGTACTGAGAGAACGGTGTGGTCAAAATCTAATGATCTTAACAATGCACCTTGTGGACGGGTATCTTGGTTTCTGAAGGACTTGCTGTAACATCTTGAATTTTAGAGTGAGAAATTTAGGAATTAGCCTAAATTAACTAGGCTACCAAGCATTTTTGAATAGAAGTCTCAGAAATGTCATGGAAAGTAAGAATGTTCCTCAGGGACTAAACTGCAAAGTGAAAGTTTTTAGGAGTTGAAGTAAAAATGAAGTTAAGAACTCCAATAAAATCTTTAAGGCCTAGTATGAGAAAAAGGGTTAGAAATGGGCTAAAAGTTATGTTAGAGATCTCAATGGAATAATTCTTAAGGTTAAACACTAATAGGGACCAAACCATAATTTTAAAAAGTTCGGATGAAAAAGGATAATTATGAGAAATATGCTCAAAAATCCCAAACAATTTCTATAAATTGGGAAATGGAATTTTAAGGCCTATGGTCTTTTGAGGAATTTTGAAATGTGAGAAAACATCAAATAATTGAAAAAAAAAATAGGGGTTAATTATTTGAGGAATTATTCAAGATTATAAGAATGATTACATCCCAAAAATGTAAAGAGGTGGGATTTAAAAGAATTTAAAGCCTAATTATATCAATTAGGGACATTATCTAGAAAATTCAAAAAGAAATACCTACAGAAGGAGTTTTGGCATGAGAAAAATTAGAATTTTTTTTAATAATTAAAGGGAGTTTATAGAGCAAACAAAGGAATTTTTAATGCAAGGAAACAGTAAAAAAAACATTTGCTGAGATTAAAGTATTATTTTATAACCGAGAAAAACAAATCCAATTTGACTTCCTCCTTTTTTCATTAATGGCTTAATAATGTACCATGTGAAGCCATCATGAAGTCATGTGAATACATTTATGAAGGGTAGAAAATAGAGGACGCAATGATGACAATAATGAGACAATATTTGAGATATTTAATTGACGGAACGTAGTAATCCACCATATACAATACAATCTCTACTGAATGACTCAGTAAGATTGGATGGCTCATCAAAGAAGCTTTTCTTTTTCTTCTCTTTCCCTTCCAGATGGTGCCAAAAAGGAGCCTTTCTATTGGTTGGAAATTTCAAGATAACATGTGATGAAAAGGAAGCTTGTGAAAGAAGTTAACTAAAGCTTATAGAGAAAGCTTCATGGGAGACTTATGGAAAAGCTTTACTTACTTCAAGAAGGATACATGTGGACCAATAGGAAGAGAGCAAGTAGCCTTGTAATTTTGAGCAAGTTTAAGGGCAAAGATTAAGGGATAAATCGGTAAACTCACTTAGGAGGTGGACTTGAAACAAGATTCCAATATAGTTTAACTTTCTAGCATTATGAGTACCCCCTCTTACTTTTGTGAGTATTTTTTGCCAACATAGAGAAAGAAGAGAGGAAGGCTGTGGAGAAGAGGAAGACAAGAGAAAGAAGAAGAGCTAGCAAGGAAGAGAAGTGTTCTTGCCATAATCAAGCACCAAATCAAGGTTTGACATGATTTTAGTGCTTAATTTGATGAGAGGTTAGCTTGCTTGTAGTTTTAATAGGTTTGAAAGATTAAAACCCTAAGTCCCCTTGCTGGCCAAAATACATATTCAAAGGGAAGATTAAATTCATGTTAGGATGATGTTTAAAGGATACAAAAGAATAAGAATCAAGTAGTTTTGCATGAAAATTAGAAGAGTTTCATTATGTTGTTCTCTAAGGGATACCACAGCCAAACTAGGGTTTATACATAAAGTTAGAATTTGATGATTTTGATACTCCCAATAAGTTTAAAATGAAAAAGTGTCTAGGTTACAAGGTTGAGAAAGTAAGTTTGGAAGTAGCATAATTGAAAATAGAATTTTTTCCCCCCAAAAAACCCTAATGCTTCGGCCAAGCTAGTTTAAGAGAAAAGAGTTGTATTTTGTTAACTTTGAGATTAGAAATAGATTTCACATGAAAAATTATGGGAAGTAGCATGTGGAATTAATTTTAAAAAGATTGGATCTAGAATTCAAAAGTTAGAGTTAAAAGGTTAAATAAGAGAGCAAGTATGTATGATGCTTACTATTATGGCTTTAATAAGTGAATGTTATGATGTGTTAATGTATTAAGGATCATGTGATTTTAAGGAAGATGAAATGGAAAAGCTAACTGGGTAACCTTAACGATTAGAAACAAAAGGGGGAAGAGGAAGACTTAAAGTTACAAGGTAGTAAACTTATCTTTGTTGTGTGCTTGATATATATGCTTGTGCGTTGATGTATATGATGTTATTTGATGATGATATAAAGCATGAATGGTTGAATGGTGCTTTGTTTCTCGTATGTTCCATAGCTATGTGTGCATGAAACATTGAGCATCTAAGCATGTTATTATATGAGTATAACATTATGTAAAGAAAACATGTCATCCACCAAGCATATATCTTGTATGCATAATAAGTAATTTTTCCTACTAAGATTCTCCCATATTTCACTCTTCCTTATCCAACCATAATAGGTATAATGATCTTGAAAGAAGAATGTGTGAGATAAAGCAAGCAAAATGATAAGAAAAATTAAAGGAGTGTATATGTCATGTAACATCTTAGATTTTGGGCCTAAAAGTATCAGAATTAGCTTAAAACGGGCATGTTACTAGACTTTTTTTAGCAAGAGTTCTTTAAGTTCCTTGAAAAGATGAAAGAATTTCCAATGACTAAGTCACAAAGTAAGAGTTTTTTGGAACCACAAGATAGGTAAATTAGAGACTCTAATAAAGCCTTGAAGGCTTGAGTATGAGAATTGAAGATGAATAAGGGCCAAAGATTGTACTAGAAATCTCAGTGAGATGATTTCTGAGGCTAAATACAAGCAATAACTTAATCATAAATTTAGAAAGTTTTAGGCTAAAAATGGTAGTGATGAAAATTATACCCCAAAATTCTAGAAAGATTCTAAAAAATTCTAGAAAAATAGGAAATGACGTTTTGAGATCCATATGGGGTTAAGAAATGATGAAAATACCCTTGAAACAAATTGATGAAATTCTTAGGGTTTTTGCTAATTATAGATATTAGCTGAAATTGAATTATTTAAAATATGAGGAGGCCTCAAATAATTGAAAAATAATAGAAAATAATACTTGAGCAATTATCACAAGTTTCAAAAATAATTTCATCTATAGAAAGGAAAGAGGTTAGCTTTAATAGAATTTAAAACCTATTTATATATCATTCAAGGAATGTCAAAACAAACCATTCATAGGTTGATTTTTGACCTAAAAAAATTAGAGAAATTTCCCATCATAAAAAAGTAGTATTGGTAACTAAAGACAGATTCTCAAAGTCATGGACTGATAAAAATAATTCGATCAAGTTTACTCTAAAATAAGTATTATTAAATGTTTTAATGAAAGAACAAAGAAAAGAGCACCCCTCCTTTTATATGCATATTATATAATGACATGTGAGGATATTTGTGATGAAAAAGGGTGGTAGAACATGTCCTAGGGTTATTGGATAAGTCAGAACCTGACAAAGTACCCGATATGGCATAAAATTATAAAATAGGTAGAGGAATAGTTAAGGGTGAGAAGGAGCACAAATTTTACCCTATTTTAATGCAAATTTGGTGAAGGGACATGGATGAAATTATACAATTTGTTAAGCGGCATGTTTGGAAGAAATGAAATTATGTAATAAAATATTGTTTTATGATCACATTTGCATTAGGTGGCATAACACATGGCAAGTGTTTAAGCAAGATGGCCTAAGATTTGTACATCTTGCAACATGTTTGGAATGGATGGTGAGATTGAAGGCCACACACCCATTGTAATTTTGATCAACTTTATGGGGCCAAGTTCTAATTAGGATATTATAAATACCACTCCCTCCCATTCATTGTGAAGTTTCAGCCAAGAGAGGAAAGGGGGAAGGAGGTTGAACACAATGGAGGAAGAAGGAAAAGAGAAAGAGCAAGAGAAGCCATGCAAGATTAAGCTCTAAGACAAGGTACGGTTGTAGTTTTTGATGTAGTTTATCTTGCTATTTATTTTGCTGAGCTTAGCCATAGTTTTAATGGATTCTGGAAGCTTGAAACCCTAGGTTAAGATGCTATTCACACTACTACAAATTGGGAATACTTGACGCTAAATATTTGACGGTTATCATAAAAACCGTCAAATATAATCCCCCCAAAAGAAAACTTGACGGTTTCTAAAGAAACCGTCAATTTTAGTAGAACAATATTTGACGGTTTCAAAGAAACCGTCAAGTATTCCGAAAATACTTGACGGTTATAAAGTATATTAAAGGTAAACTTGACGGTTTTAAATCAAAACCGTCAAGTTTAGTAATACTTGACGGTTTTGATTTAAAACCGTCAAATATTATTTGAGAATACTTAACGGTTATCAATAGAAACCGTCAAGTATTGTGCTTAAAAACCCGTCCCTTTCCCCTGTTCAGTCTCTTCAGTTCAAAATTTCTAGCGCCCCCTCCGCTTCGGACTCTCCAAGCCGCCGTACCCACCTCTGTTTCGGCCGTTCCCTTTTGCTTTTTTTGCCCGTCCTTGCTCGTCCTCCATCATCGTCCCTCTCGGTGTCCTCCATTATCGGTGCGGCATCCTCCTGCTTTGTCATTGTGCGTGCATTCTCCCGATTGCGCCCCCTTCCGCTTCGGACTCTCCAAGCCGCCGTACCTACCTCTGTTTCAGCCGTTCCCTTTTGCTTTTTGTGCCCGTCCTTGCTCGTCCTCCATCATCGTCCCTCTCGGTGTCCTCCATTATCGTTGCGGCATCCTCCTGCTTCGTCGTTGTCGTGCATTCTCCAGATTGTCATTTCGGCTCCAGGTTGGTAATGCTTCACTCGCTCCCCTTATTTCCTTTAGTTCTTCCTTTGAGAAATGATTGTAGTGGAAAGGGAATGATAGGATAATGCTAGGACCGTTCACCATGCACACACGGAAAATGGGTTTGCTATTTGGCCGAATGGGTTTTCTTTTCTGTTCTTGATTCTAAATGGGTGTTTCGCATTTTGATCAGTTTGGGTTTAGGGTGTTTTAGTTTTTTGTTTTCGCGATAAAGTCTGGGGAATGCAATGCTAATGTTTCAATTTTTGTTTTTGTAATTGAAATTGACTATGTGCTGGTTTGGTTTTCTGCCATAAAGCCTGGGGAATTCTAAGTTATAAGCCGTTATGCTGTCGAATTTTTTTCAAATGGAATAGCACATTAGTAGTAGTAGAATATTTTTCAAACTGAAATGAAAGTAAATTTTTGTTGAATTACTAGTTGTTAACAACTACTAGTTGTTAGCAACTACTAGTTGTTAGCAAGTAGAATTAAAGAGGGATAAATGTGATCAATAGTGACTCATGTGTTGACTTTCTATTTTTGTTTAATTCTCATAATATCTTTGAGTCACTGATCACATTTTTCTCTAAATGATTCATCTTAGTCGGGGACCATGGGCAAAGAATGGATGTCCGCCAATCGTCTATCAAAAGAATATTGGGATGGGGTAGAAGATTTTATTAAGTTTGCGATTGAGCACGCCGATGATCGCAACAGGATTATTTGCCCCTGTCTTAAGTGTTGCCTTTTGAAGTGGGTTTCGCCATCCGATTGTGAGAGCCACTTAATTATCAATGGAATTGATCAAAGTTACAAGTGTTGGACAAAGCACGGAGAGACAAGAGATGTGAGTAATAGTAGTCGAGGGCATAGTGAAAGCTGTGGATCATCTAATCTTGACATGAGTACATGTGAAGCTGATCGTCTTGAGGAGATGACAGATGCGATTGAACGGGAACTTGACGATTGTCCTGAAATGTTTGATAGATTGAAGTGTGATGCTGAGACACCTCTATATGAAGGTTGTACTGATTTCACAAAATTGTCTGCAGTGTTGAAACTGTATAATTTGAAAGCAAGAAATGGGTGGAGCGACACAGGCTTCACAGAACTGCTGTTGCTTGTTAAACAAATGCTACTGAAAGAAAATGAGCTTCCAAGTAAAACGTATGATGCAAAGCAAGTGTTGCGCTCTGTCGGCCTCAGCTATGAGAAGATACATGCTTGCCCCAATGATTGCATTTTGTTTAGGAAGGAGTATAAGTCACTAACTGAGTGTCCTAAGTGTAATGCATCACGCTACCAAGAGAATGGGAAGAGCCCGAAGAAGGCATTATGGTATTTTTCCATAGTGCCAAGATTCAGACGCTTGTATAGTAATGTAGAAGATGCAAAAAATTTAAGGTGGCATGCAGATAAAAGGGTTAAAGATGGCATGCTTCGCCATCCTGCTGATTCTCCAGAATGGAAGAAGTTTGATATTGAGTATCCTGAATTTGGGGAAGAAGATAGAAATCTATGCCTTGCATTAGCCACCGACGGGATGAACCCTTATGGGATGCAAAGCAGCACCCATAGCACATGGCCAGTGATTTTGTTTATATATAACCTTCCTCCATGGCTATGCATGAAACGCAAGTATTCAATGATGTCTATGATAATATCTGGGCCAAAGCAACCGGGAAATGACATAGATATATATCTAGCTCCATTAATTGAAGACTTGAAAGTATTGTGGGAGAATGGAGTTGATGTATATGATGCATATAAGGAAGAAAAATTCAAGTTGAGAGCTATGTTATTTGGCACAATTAACGACTTCCCTGCGTATGGTAATCTCTCAGGGTATAGCATTAAAGGACAACTTGGTTGTCCCATTTGTGAAGAGAGCACAGATTCCATAAGGTTGAAGCATGGAATGAAAAATTCATATATGGGACATCGTAGATGGTTGCATCGTGATCATCCTTACCGGCGATTCAAAAAATATTTTAATGGGAATTCAGAAGAAGGTAAGGCACCAACACCGTTGATTGGGGAGGATGTATTTCAAAAGGTGAAAGATATAGATTGTGAATTTGGAAAACCTTTCGCGAAGCATGTTGGGACAAGTGGGTGGAAGAAGAGGTCTATTTTCTTTATACTGCCGTATTGGATAACCCTAAATGTGAGACATTTTCTTGATGCTATGCATATTGAGAAAAACGTATGTGAAAGTCTGTTTGGCACATTACTCCATATTCCGGGAAAGACTAAAGATGGCATAAATGCCAGGCTAGACATGGTTGAAATGGGGATAAGGGAGGAATTGGCACCAGAGGATAAGGGAACTCGTACATTTCTTCGTCCGGCAGCTCACACCCTTTCTAGAAAAGAGAAAAGTAGTTTTTGTGAGTTTCTTGCTTCAGTAAAAGTGCCGGAAGGTTACTCTTCTAACATTAGTAACCTTGTGTCAATGAAGGATATGAAGTTAAAAGGTTTAAAATCTCATGACTGTCATGTCTTAATGGAAAACTTTATTCCAGTGGCAATACGGGCTATTTTACCTGATAAGGTACGAGTTACGATCACAAAGTTATGTTTCTTCTTTAAGTCTCTTTGCAGCAAAGTGATTAATCCTAGTAAATTGCCAAGATTGCAAACCCGAATCATAGTTACGTTATGTGAACTTGAAATGTATTTTCCTCTGGCTTTTTTTGACATCATGGTCCATTTAACCATCCACTTAGTTAGAGAGGTCCAATTGTGTGGCCCAGTGTATTTAAGATGGATGTACCCAGTTGAGCGTTACATGAAAATATTGAAAGGGTATGTGAAAAATCGAAGTCGGCCAGAGGGTTGTATTGTAGAACGATATATTTGTGAAGAGGCTACTGAATTTTGTACCCATTACTTAAAAAATGCAAGTGATATTGGGGTTCCAATGTCTCGTCATGAGGGAAGGACAGATGGAGAAGGGATTATGGGAAAGAAAGTCGTAACTATTTCAAACCAACAGTGGGAGCAGGCACATCTATATGTATTGCACAACTCCGAAGAGATTGAGGACTATGTGCATGAGCATATTGATGAGCTAAAGAGGGATAATCCCAATAAACTTGAAAGTTGGTACACCAAAACACACAATAAACAATTTACAGCATGGTTGAGAGAGCATGTGCATGGCAAGTATAATAATGATCCTAATTCTGTTTCGAAGAAATTAAAGTTGTTGGCAGATGGACCGAGCAAACATGTGATTTCTTTCACAAGCTACCTTATGAATGGGTTCACTTTCTATACTAAACAACAAGATGATCGGAGTAAACAGCAAAATAGTGGCGTAACTCTTGTAGCTAGTACCATGCATATATCGAGTGCCAAAGATAAAAATCCTATCTATGCACGTATGTCATACTTTGGAGTGATTGAGGATATTTGGGAGTTGGATTACATTGAATTCAGAGTTCCGGTATTTGGTTGCAAATGGGTGGATAATAATAATGCATTGAGGATTGATGACTTAGGGTTTATACAATTGAATTTGAATAAAGAAGGATACAAGGAAGAGCCATTCATTTTGGCTTCTCAGGCTACGCAAGTGTTTTATGTCCCTGACCCGGCTGCCAAAGGATGGTCTATTGTTTTGTTGACTAATAAAATGGATATTGAAGAGACGGGGTATGAAGACAATGCAATTGAAGATGATCCATTTCAAGGGGCCTCACTTGATTCTCATTTAAATGAAGATCAATCCATGTATGTCAGGCATGATCACAACGACGGAATATGGATTTCAAAGAGGGGAAAGTGTTTCGTAAGAAGATCAAAACAATTCAAACCAAGAAGAACATGCAAAAACATAAGAGTAGAAAAAGAAAAAGATCTTCTTAAACATGCATGTAAATTCTCTCATTATTTTCTTTGATTCTTTTATTTGTTTTAATTTTGTTCAAATAAATTTCGTCATTAATGACTTTATTTTCATTTAATGGATTCTGATTCATTTTGTTTACTTCAATTTCATTGCAGATGGCAGACGATAGCGGATCTAGCACTGATAACCCATCTCAGCCGAGAGATGCCTCTGAGCAGGAGAGACAGTTGCAAGAGGAGGCAGCACGCATACAGAGGGGCCTTTGTGTCATGCAAGAGGTCGTGAAAGCTCGAACAGAAGGAAAGAAATTTGCCGTACAGTGGAATAAGAAAGGACAAGCTGTACGGTCAAATAAATTTATCAGCTATATTGGGGCAGTGGCACGAAGCACCGTGCCCATTACAGCGCAGCATTGGAGGAGGGTTGATCGTTCAGTGCGAGACACTATTTGGACAGATGTATCGGTAATATATTATAACTCAAATTTCGTTTTCTTACAAGCTGCGTGACACTAATGTGTTGTTTTATATGTTTTGCAGTCTGCATTTGATATAGATGAGAGCAGGAAGAGGTTTGTGGAGGGGAAGGCTGGGAGGGCACTACGCTCTTTCCGATATTTTGTCACACACAAGTACTTGAAGGATCCTTCCACAGCCGACGAGTCCCAGGTTCCTAGCTTGATACGGGACTTGGTCAAACCAGAGGATTGGGCTGCTTTTGTGACGTCACGTCGTGATAGGCAATTTCAAGTAATAATCCTCGCTCTTTTTGATATTAAATAGTCCATTTTGTTTAATCTATATATTGTTTAATTGTGAATCTACTTTGTTTTTGCAGGAATTAAGTTCCCAAAATAAGGAAAGAGTAAAGAAGAATGAGTATCCCTACCGAAAGGGCCGCTTGGGTTATGCGGGCCTTGAGCAAGAGGTGACTCAGCAGGAGGGATCAGATGTCACTGTATCACGTCAGATGCTGTGGGCACTGGCCAGGCAAAATAAAGATGGCCAAATTGATAATCCTCGCGTTAAGGAGGTCGTGGACAGGATGGTGAGTATTATTCTAAATTAAATAATCTTCACGTTATTGTCAAATATCTTTAAGTATGAATAACTATATCAATGTTTGTTGCACAGGAGAGTTTGTCCCAGGAAGTTTCGCAGGGGGCATATTCTGTAGATGACCAGGATATATTGAGGAGGGCATTGGGGACTCCTGACCATCCTGGTCTTCTTAGGGGTGTCGGTTATGGAGTCACCAAGAGAGATTACTTTGGGTACCGACAAAAGCCCTCTTCATCGTGCACGCCTTCCTCTGCTAAGTTCATGGAGCTGAAGGAAGAAACACGCTGGTTAAAGGAGCAGGTTAAAGTGCAAGCGCTCCTAATCGAGCAGTTGATCAAGAATCAAGCACCACAGCCGGCTCCGAATCTCAGCCCAAGTGGCAAAGACAGCTGCACATTCCCCTTGCTACCTGAGGTATAATACTTGTGTTTATATAATTACATTCAATAATTTATATATCTAGCTAACTTGTCTCTTATGTTAAACAAATCAGGGTGAAGCGGACGTTCAGTGTATGGCGGATAGCCCTAAACATCACACTGTTGCAACGGGCCGCATGTTCAATTTACCGGGGGAGAGTATAATTCATAATGTTCCTCTCCCTGCTGATCATGTGAGGGTGCAGTTGAACACTGCTATTGATGCGAATTATGCCCTCCCGATTCTCACCCCAGATGCAGAGACAGTGGCTCAAGCAGTGGGTAGCTTTGTCGCTTGGCCTGGCCGTCTTCTTACATTAGGACATCCTTCAAAGGTATATATGTATAGGTTACAAATTCAGCTGATTTAAAATAAACTCTATTTTAATTACTAACAGTCTGTTTGTCAGTCTAAGGGGAAGAAGAGCCTATTGGGTGATCACTCATTATCATCACCACAGAAGCAGCCCTCTGAGCCCGTTCAAGTGGTATCATCAAGATTCCGAATATGTCTTGAGGAATATGCAATTGGGGCCAGATTAGAACATGGCGAGGATTTCATGATTCCCCTAGAGTTTGAGCCAGAGGTATACGGTCGACCCTCGTCAGATTATGTCACAAATAAAGTATTGAAAGAGATTCTGACGCATGGAATGGCCAGCACAAATGCCTGTAACTTTTATATCAGGTATTTGTTAAAACCTTAACTAAATACTTAAGTACTTGAACATTTATTCTATTGATATCTTCGTTTGTTGATTTAGATATCTTTTCAAGAACTTCATAGCCCCTGGTGGCCTTGATGACAAGTTCAAGATTATCAGCCCCCACACTTTTGCTGGCCACGGACCTAATATGAAGAAAGACTTAGCCAGAGACTTGTTAGATATCTTCATTTCTAGTGCAACACTGGGGGCTCAGACTTTGTTTTTGGCGCCTTATTGTCAAGGGTAAACTTTCCTAAATTCTTTCATTTTCAAAATAATTTGTAATAGTTCTAATTGTCTTTCTTATACTTAGGGGACACTGGATGCTGATTGTGGTCAATCCCACAAAGCCGAGGATTTGGTATCTTGATTCTCTTCATGGGGATCCAACCAATCGACCATTTATGGTTTCATTGTTCAACAAGTAATATTTATCTCTATTATTTAAATTTAATTTAATTTCTTGCTTCAATCAAATTTTTGACAATCATTAATATTCAATTTTATTGTCTTCTCAGGGCTTTGTGGCTATACCGCACAAATCAGGCCTTACCCTGCCCCCGGTAAAAAACGGCCAATTTGACGATACCTTCCAGTGGAAGAAAGTGAAGGTATTCACTACCATGATTTACTATTCTACTAAATATGGTTTATTTATATGATTGACTAATATTATTTCCTTTTCCATTCTTTACAGTGCCCACGTCAGCCTAACAAGAGCTCCCATTGTGGATATTGCGTGATGAAATTTATGAAGAAGATAATTCTGCACAATGCTGACTCAATTCCCACGCAGGTATGCATTTGTTAAGGTTCAATTTATATATTTAAGAATTATTGTACTTACTGTAGCTTTACATTTCTATCTAACTTAAGTCATAATTTGTGGTTGCATACAGTACTTTGCCGACACATATTGCACAGTGTATTCATCTGCTCAGATGGAAGAAATCGTTGAGGAGTTGGCGATGGCCTTATTCCGTCAGTGGGCACAACATAGATAGGGAAGTGTACATTAAGACAGTGTATGTACGTACAGCTAGCTTTGGTTTCAATATAATTTTGGTTTTGGTTCATTTTTGGCTGTTGGTTAGTTTTAGGCATTGCACAACTTTGGCAATTGGCTAATTTTGGAATTGGTTCACCTTTTTGTACTTGCCAGAATTTTAATATATCACAGTTGGTTTTCATTGGTTCATATATATATATGATAATGTAAATTATTTTCGGTTCATTAACATATATGTATATGGCTGAATTGGTTTGAATGCTGGCCTGCATGATTCTGTTGAATGAGCCTTTGTTATTGGTTTCAAAATTGCAAGGGGTTGCTGGCAAAGGAGAACGAATTTTTAAAAAAAAAAAAAGAATAATACTTGACGGTTATTAGTTAAAACCGTCAAGTATTATAACATACTTGACGGTTACTTTTAAAACCGTCAAGTATTAAATAATACTTGACGGTTTTTCAAAAATAACCGTCAAGTATGTTTATAATACTTGACGGTCACTCTATGGAACCGTCAAGTATTACTGAATACTTGACGGTTTTTGGAACCGTCAAGTATAATCTCAAAATAATTGGCGGTTTTTTTCTAGTAACCGTCAAGTATGATTTAAATATTTGACGGTTAACAACCGTCAAATATTTGCTGTTGAAATATATGACGCCAGTATAGTTGACGGTTTTTAACCGTCAAATATGATCCAAAATAACCGTCGAGTATTTTTCATTTTGTAGTAGTGTCAATTTTGTTTAAAGCCATTGAAAGGATTAATTAATTCTAGAATCATTTTAAAGGACTAAAAAGAATGCGAATCGAGTGATTTTAGGATGATTTGTGAAAGATTTCATAGTTGTGTATCTAGGGGTAGGTTTCGACCAAGGCTTGCTATTAAGGCTAGGGTTGGATTTTGATGATTTTGCTGCTTTCAATAAGTTAGAAGATGAAATTGTGTAGGGTTATGTTGAGAAAATATGTTTGGAAGCATTAGAATTGAAAATAAAAATTTTAGATTCCAAACCCTAACCTCTCGATCTTAAGTGTTTAAAGTGGATAGAGTTGGACTTTGTTAGATCCAAACTTATATTTGGATTCTTCATGAAAAATTGAGTGGAAATGGCTAAGAGAATGATTTTAGAAGTTAAGAATGAGAAAGAAAAAATTTAAGTTAAAGAGAAACAAGTTTGAGAATTAAGGGTTGTTAGTGGTTTTTATGGTCTTGGTTAATTGGCTATTAATTTGCAATGTGAATTTAGGGTCATGAGACGCCTAGAAAGATGAATGGCAAGGTTGTTCAAGCAATACTAGTAGTTGGAAGTAAAAGGAACAAGGAGAAAGCCTAAAGGCTTCAAGGTAGCGAACTTAACTATTTTGTATGCTTGATGTGTATGCTTGTATGTAGATGTTGCTTGATTATGAATAAAAATATGAATGGTTAAATGTTGCTCTATTTCTTGTTCAATCTATGGCCATGTGTGTTTGAAATATTGAACATATGAGCATGGCATTTTATAAATGTGAAAGTATGTGTAACCAAGCATGACACTTGCATCTATCCTGCATGTATAATGGTAATGTTTGCTACCGAGATTCTCCCGAATTTCATCCTTCCTTAACCAACCATAATAGGTATGATATTCAAGGAAAGAGGAATGCAAGTTGTGGAAATGCAAGAATGAAGGGAAGAATTGAAGGAATGATGTATTATGTTGTGTTATGTAAAGAATTCTTTTTTATGTTAATATATGATATGAATGTGCCATTAATGCTATGTAATGATGAATGATGAGAATGACATGTGCAATTGAGTATTATGATGCTTGAGAATGAATTAGGCAATGTGGAAGGACTGTATGCAAAGAGATGAATATTTATTGTGAACACCTGATTTTATCTGGGCCCCTCAAGAAATATTAAATATAAATAAAAACAAATAAAAAAGAAATAAGAGGTTAATCTCCTCCTTGATTTTTTCTTGGAAGCAAAGTTTGAAAAATCCACTGTGGTAAATCAAAAAAAAGAAAAATTAAATAAGAATATCCCTCTTATAATAAATGGTAATACAAAAAAAAAGATAATAATTAAAAGTTAATTGACCTCCGAATTAGGAAATATGGGGTGGAGTCTAAATAAAAGAAAATTCAAAAAATTCAAAAATCAAAATGAAAATTTCCCATTTAAGATGATCGACTCTTTAATTTAAAAATATCTCTTGGGGTCATAATTGTGAAAATTTTTTTAAAATAAAAATAAAAAATTACAATTTGATAACGATTTGATGCTTAAATAGGAAGTTATATTATGAGTCATAATTGAGAAAAATTAAAAAATAGAAATTAAAGAAAAACTAGAAAACCTATGTGGAGCCTATAAATAGGAGAATAAGGGTTGGAGAAAGACACTCAGAATTTTTTGGTGAAAAAAGAGGCAAAGTAGAGAGTTTTTCTATCATTTTATTTTATGACAATGACTTGGGTTGGGAAAAGAGAGAGGATGCCTAACTAGAGGAAAGTCTATTGTTCATCTTCTTTTTTCTTCACCCAAGGAAAACCTATGCTCTTTTGGTTATTATCACATTTGTGAACTTGAATATTATTGGCTAGAGAGTTGAATCAAATATGATTTGAGTTAATTCTCACTACTTCCCTTCTCTTTGACTTGTTTAAAATATGCCATCATTTATTATCCCCCATATGTACTCAATTTGATGCTTACTTTCTTGCTTTTTATTTTTATTTATTTTATTTTTGTCCATGTCATTTTGCTAATATTTATATGTGGTTTTTTTTTAATTATTGGTTTATTATATAATGTCTTCTCTTTTTGGAGCATCAAGTATGAATTTCTGTTCTTTTTGGGTGTTTTCTCTTCTGTTTTTTTTTTCTGAAAGAGCTTCTTTTTTTAAAAAAAATTTGTACTGTGTGAGGTTTTTACAACCTTTACATGTATCTAGATTCATTGGTAAATTGTGTGAGATTGTGAGAGTCTCCACAGGAATACCAATGTGGTTGTGCAAGTTTTCTTTTTAAAATAAAAAGAGAAAAAATAATTTTGGCCCCATGTTTATAAATAAATAATAAAATGAAAATTCTTTTTTAAATATGTATATATAATCTCAAAATGTTTTTTTAGAGCCGTGTGAGATTTTTAGAACTTCTGTAGGCTCAAACGATTATTCTTTTATGTAAGGTTATGAGAACCTCCGCAGGGAAGGTAATCCAAAATTTCTTTCAAAAAATTTTTTTTCTAAATAAAAACACAAAAATTGTTTTCATATTAAAAAATACCAACCCACAAAAAATATTTTTTTAATTGAATAAATGTATTCTGAAAAATACCAACCAAGTGACACGTATTTTACCCTCCAAACTACGTGGGTTTTGATCCCTCTAAAGGGTACATAGGCCCTAAATTTTTATCCTAAATCAAGTCCAACTTTGTAAATAAAAAGTTTTCTTTGTTTCTATCTTTATTCTTTCAGGGTAATTAAAATATGATAAAAAGGTCATATGAATTTTGAGTAGGTGACTTAGGGTAACTATTCTTTTGAACAGGTATTGTGGGGTGCCTAACACCTTCCCCACACACAATCGACTCCTAAACCCTATCCGGTTTTCGTAGACCACATTTTTTTAGGTTTTCAAAATTAATCTTTTAAAA